CTGCAGGTGTAGAACAGTAAAGAAATGTCCCCTGAATTCATTGGCCAAAATGGTCCCAACTGGACCGTTAGTGGAATATAGCCTTCATATTTTTTTGTGAATGGGAGCAAAATCGATCACATATGTTTAACAGCACATGCCTATTCATCTTCCAACTGCCCCCATAATTTATCTCATTTCTTTGTAAGTATGCATAAGATTAGTTCAGAATAACCAAGTTTCAGACTGCTATGCTGAAGATGTACTGGTAGGTTTTTAGATAATGAAGGTCCACCCAGCTCTTCCTTCACTGGTATGGTTCCCTGTATGTTAAAACATGTTTAGAGCATGAGTGAAGCATAACATAAAACAGAGTTGGAAGGGATCTTGGGGGCCCCTGCTTAAGCAGGAGACCATATACCATTCCAGACAAATGGCTGTCCATTTTTTTCTTAAAAGCCTCCAGGGTTGAAGCACCCACAACGTCTGGAGGTAAGTCATTCCACTGATTAATTGTTCTCAGGGTCAGGAAATTTCCAAATTTGCTTCTCTCCTTGATTAGTTTCCATCCATTGCTTCTTGTTCTGCCTTCAGGTGCTTTGGAGAATAACTTGACCCCCCTCTTCTTTGTGGCAGCCCCTTAGAAATTGGAACATTGCTATTATGTCATTCCTAGTCCTTCTTTTCATGCAATTAGAATACCCAATTCCTGCATTCAGGAATCTCAGAAATAAGCTTAGCACACATGCAGTACCAGTGTTTTACATAATACATATACCTGCCCCCGCCCCCCAAATAATGCCTAGTAGGGCTACTCTGAGTTGCACAGAAAGTTCAGGAATCTTCTAATTATCTAAAATATACAATCAATTTCTGTAGAATGTGAGGACAGGGCTCTATAATACAATGCCTAGATATGAAGGTATTTAACCTTGAAAGCAAGCAAAACAAGAACAGGGTAGTGATTTCAATGGGTTAAATGAAAATAAGACACTGGGAAATAAACTGGAACGCTGAAGAGAAGAGAAAAGAAGAGGAGAGGAGAGAAGAGGAGTTCTTGGCCTAGAGGTAGAGCTCTTGCCTCACAATCGAGAGGCTGTGAATTTGATCCTAGGCAGAGGCTAATCTTTGGAATAGACTCTCCTGCTCGAGCAGGGGGTTGGACTAGATGACCTCCAAGGTCCCTTCCAACTCTGTTATTCTATGATTCTAAGGGAAGAAGCAGAGAGTGAAAAAAGAAGTAGAGGAAGAAGCAAATTGTTAATAAATGGAAATGTATGAAGAGGTAGGGCTGGGGAAAAAGTTGTCCCAGACCTATGAACAAGGAGCACTAAATCTGACAAGCAACAGAGATGACTGTGCACCACTGAATCGTAAACACTGGATCCTAATGGCACAGAGGGAGGTTATGGATTTTATATGCCAGTTAAGTAGCCAATGTTCAAATACATTCAGCACTTCAGGTTTTTAAGAAATAAACAATGCAAGACAATGACAAAACTTCCTATCTTAGAGAATCATTTCTGAAAAGTGAAGTAAAATAGGCTAAAGATAGGTGCTTAAACATGTTTCAGCTAGACATTAATTGATTCCTTTCATCCAGTAGTGTGCAAAATGGAAAGATGAAGAGAAAGTGTTCCTTTTAAAGAGAAAATGGGCATTCACACAGACAAATCCTTAAAGAGCTAAAATAAAAAGATTAAACAGCATATAAATGACTCCAAAGTGGAAACATGGATTTAAAACATTTTTAGAGTGTTAATAAAAATAGAGTGTTCTTTAAAAATTTCTCTCAACAAAGAAACTAGCAGCAATTGTCTTATTTTAGTCTCAGAAGATGAAATTGAATAGGTGGGTGAGACTTCATAATGTCATTTCCAATTGCTGATAAATTACAATCCAGAGAACATGTATTTTACTTTAGCTGCGTGTTCAACAGAGTGATCCCCAGATAAGCTGGGATGAATTTAAATGGGCACTGGCTTTGAAAACCATAGGATCTGCCAACTGTAGGTTTCTTCTCCCAGATACTGCTATATCTTTAAAAGAAGCCTTGCGGACAGCTATCATGAGAAGATGGATGACAGGAGAAGATCCATTTAAATCTTATATTTGCCAGGTTTAGGACATTGCTTAGGTGACTGGAATTTTGAGTAGGCTAAAAGTAGACCTACCATTAAGCCAATTAAAACAACTGACTCAGATGGCAAATAGTCCTTGTGTGTCATGTTAAGTGACCTACTCCCCAAAACTAGGCTGTAGATTTCAGATGACATAGAGAAGGTAAGGACAACTTTTGGGTGTCTGGGAGTAGCACTTTGGAGAGGGGATGCAATGGGGCCCTCCTTTCTTGCTTGAGTCAGTGGAAAACTTCCTAACTTGAAAACTGCTCTTCCCTTACACTACCTTAACTTTCTGCTAATTTTGCCTCCAAGGTGATAAAGCCTAACTAATGCTATGTGTCTTGGCATTCCCCTTAGACTGTTATGGACTAAGAGAGAAAATAATCCTCTAACACTAATATGGTGACTTAAGCCTGTTTCAATCATAGACTGGGGATGTGATAAAGGCAACAACATAAAGACAAATAGGCTGAAAAACAGCTTCGATCCCAGGACAGTAACTATTGAATTCTACTGTATAGTGCAATATTAATGCAATATCAGGGGTTTTCAATTCAATGTTTAGAATGTGAAGGATGTGTGTTTGTGTTTATTTTCATAATCATAATGTATTTAATTTCATTGTACGAGGTGCAATGACAATAAACTAAACTAAACTAAACTAAAGATCCTGCAGAAAAAAAGATGCTGTATATGTGGTTGCTCTGGTTGCATTATGTGGGAGATGGCCCTATTTTAGGGGTGTTGAGATATTTAGAGTTGCTTTCGTTTATTTGTTGCTTGTTTCTGCAGGGAGAGGATTGTTTAAAAACTAAAATTAACATTTGTTTTCAGCTGTTTTCTACAGAAAAATGATAGGAAATGGCACCACCATGCCTTATCAATTTGTTGTTGAAATTTAACACAGAGTTCTAAACAATGAATGGCAAAAAAGTAGGTGTGGAAGGATGGGTGGGAATTTCACCCATTTTGTCAACCAACAAGTTGCTCATCCTGCAAAAGAAGACACAGTGTAGTTCTGTGGATACAAATGCATACATGCATACATGCCCAGCACATCATTTCCATGTGGTTAAGCTACAGTTATGCAGAGTACAGATAGAGCAAGAAATACAGAGAGCTAAAGAGACAAATAATCATAAGATAAGGAAAAGAAAATGCAAATGCAAATGAAAGATGTGAGGTGGCTATGAACTGAATGATATTCTTCTGGCTCTGCTGTTGGACTGCTGGAAGAATGAATTAGCTGAAGGCATTCTCAGTTTTTATGGTTGGTAGCAGTGAAGCAGACCTCAGGGTGAAATTGCTTGTGAAGGACTGTGAAAGGAAGGTGCACATGTGTAAGTGCTGCATGTCTATTTTATGTGCAAATATTGGTAAAGATCTGAAGTTGCCACATTCTACAGGAATGCCAACTTAATATTCCAGAAAAGCTCACATTTATGGCATGAAGACCAGATCTCTTTCCCTTTATGCTTCTTCAAGAACTAACACTATATAGCAGAGTTTATTAACCTTTGAGAAACACTACTTTATACAATCTCTGTTCCAGAAGTTCTAATTATTTACAGAAAATTACTTGGTCTAAGGCTCGCTAAAATAGATTCATTGGACATGATGTCATTCCCTATATGAAATTTTTGCATTATTTTTATTTTCTAGTACTGATGGAATACCTCATTGCAGTTCTGAATGGCCACATATCTGACACAAGAAATGACAAGATTAAAAAGCAACTGACGAAATTCTCTGGATAGTCTGTCATTGACTTTAATGTGGGCATTTCTGAACTTCAAAGACCGATGTCAAGATGAAGTACCTAATTCTTGAATGAATTCTATATCTCACATTGGCTTAAACATAGAAATGTGGGTGGGTGGGGTTGAGCCACAATATACAGTATTTGCATCAGTGAAATTATATGCACCAACCATACGTGGTTTGGTGTACTGATTTAAGGTGCTGGCCTAGAAACCAGGAGATTGTGAGTTCTAATCCTGCTTTAATATGAAAAGTGGCTGGGTGACTTTGGGCTAGCCACTCGCAGCCCAATCCACTTCACAGGATTGTTGTTGTAGGGGGAAATAGGAAGTGGAAAGAGCATAAGGTATGTTCACTGGCTTGAGTTACTTATAAAGGCAGGATCAAATCTAATAAATACATTTTTATACAGCCACCTACTGTTTTTACCTTCTCTGTTTAATTTCTCTTTATCTTCATTGTTTCCACTATCTGCATTTATCCCACAATGCTACTTCATGCTACTGTTGTACACAGTCCAGCAAATATTTTGGCGTTTATACATTTGTTGACCTGAAAGAATTGTCTTTTTTTCAGCTAGAGTAACGTGGTTACTACTCAGATTCTAGAGGTATATGTCCATCTTCTCCTTCATATTAGATAGAATAATGGTCACAACCATACCTTGTGGCAGTGAGTTCCCTAAATTAACTTACCTACTATTTTCTTTGTCTACTCTTAAACTTAAGCTCATATTCACTAAGTACTATCGTAAATTCCGTAATTCCGTCCCGACCCCTATTTGATAATTGACTGCATACAGTACAGTAGTCCAATTATTATAGAAAAAGCTTTTGGCAGAGAGAGAGAGAGAGAAAGAGAGAGAGAGAGAGAGACGGACAAAGCCTCCGCTAGACGGCGCTAGACAACGCCTGTCTTTTCTTATGAAGGAAACATTGATTTAACAGGGCAGCAGCCCTTTAAGAACTTCCCCCTTTCCCTTTTCGTACTCTATGTTTACATAACAGACTGGAAGATACCATCACGGTTTTTGACGGAAGACGAGGGGAGCGTGGAAGGACCGGAGAAAGCCGAGAGGAGGGGCCGTTCCACGCCTCCTTTCTGGGTAGGCGCTCTAGTAGTTGGTCTCTCCTCATCCCCCCTCGGGCAGTCGCGTCTGTCGCTGTTGGCTTGAGCGCAGAGAGGGGAAGCGAAGGGTCCGCGTCGGCGGGCGCACCAAGCAAAGGCAACCCGGATATTTCGCCCGACCGACCGACGGCTGGCTGGCTGGCTGGCTCCGCGACTATGAAGGAAAGGTCTCCAGCCAAACGTCCTGTTTGGTGACTGTTACTGCTGTTCTTTTGGCGAATGCCGTTTTTGCCCCGCATGGGATTATAGCGACGACGACAACCGTGGCGGTGGCCCCATGTTTTCTCCTAGCCAGGAGGAGCACTGCGCGCCCAACAAGGAGCCCGTCAAATATGGAGAACTCATGGTTCTCGGGTAAGGGCGGCTGCCAAGGCTGGGGCGCTGCGCTTGCGGTGGGGTCGGGGCTCCGGCGGGGCATCCCCCCCCCCACCTCCGCTTTGAGGCTGAAGCCGGCGGCGGAGTGGCGTCTCGGGAGAAGCGCGGGTGGGCAGGATATCCCCCCCCCTTGCCACCCCCACCCACCCCTTTTGCCTCTGGAGGGCACAACTCCGCAGCCCGAGGGGCGCTAGTTACCAGCGGGCTCTGCCGGCGCTCTTTCGGGGTGGGCAGCTGGGGAGAGCCCCCCACCCCCGAGAGGGAGGCGAGGCTGGGAGCTGCTCCGTTGAGAGAGTTGCGTGGTGCGGGTGACCCCCGAGGCCTCGGGCCCACGGTCGGGGAGCAGGCGGGCGACGGGGTGGGTGGGTGGGTGGGAGCGGAGGTGTAATAAGCCTTATTACAGGGGAGGAGGGCCGTGGGGAAGCGAGAAGGGCTCAGGTCGCCGAGGGGGCTAAAGCCGGGGAAGAAAGTGCGCGCCTAAATGCGTGGAAGGTCGGCCCCTCTGCCTGGCGAGCGGAGGAGAAGCGGGGCAAGAATTATGTCCCCCCTCGGGAAAATATTTCGAAGCGGGAACCAGCTGGGGAGTCGGGTCTCTCTCTCTCTCTCTCTCAGGGCCTCCGGGCGTGTGTTGGACGATGAAAGGAGGTGCGGGAACATTTTAATTAATGGCCTCTCCTCCCACCCCCCAAAAAAGAACACGAAAAGTTCGTGGAGGTGAGAGAAGGCGCAGATGATGGGCTAGCCCAGGGGTGTCCAACCTTGGTCACGTTAAGCCTGGAGGACTTCAACTCCCAGAATTCCCCAGCCAGCTTTGCTGTTGGAGTTGAAGTCCTCCAGGCTTAACGTGACCAAGGTTGGACACCCCTGGGCTAGACGCTCAAAGTATTCCGGGACGCACTTCGGATATGGGGGGGGGGAGGGAAGTCTCTCGCCTTCCACTTTTTTGGGAAGTGTTGATGGGGGAGGGGTCGGGGGGCCCCAGTTGTGTATTAACCATTAAGCAGACTAAGCACGTCCCTTGGGCACCAGGCCCAAAGGGGGCACCACCAAGTTTGAGAAAGAAAGAAAAAAAAAAAACCTCAATGAAGATTTGTAAAAAAAAAAATCTTGCATATACGAAGGAGGGGGGGGGCACCAAGATTTGTCAATGCTTAGAGCACCAGTGAGCCTTAATCCGCCACTGGTGGGGTGGGGGTTGGTTAGAGAGAAAGTGCACCCTGCGGGGAGGCATGGATCTGCTTGTTGTGGGAATGGTGGGTCTTGAAGGTCAGGGGGAGAGGGGGAGGAAAGGAAACATAACACGCCTGGTTAGAAAGCCTCCCTGCATGGGCAAAAGGAGTGATGGTTGATGGAGGGGTGGGAGAAATAGGGAATTAATGAGTGAGGAAGGAGGGGCAGGCAAGTGTTAGCATGTTTGTACTGTAGTCCCATGCTGAATGCTTAGCAGTGAGATTATTATAACACTGATTATGGGGGGGGGAGTCCCTGTTTCATTGGGACTGAGCAGATCTTATCTCTGCCTGTGGCCATTCTCACTCACCTTTATCTTTTCCCCATATTCTGCCTTGAGATGAAAGATCTCCAAAAGGGGTGAAATATGGTGATACAGAAGTGTAATGCTGGGAACCTGCTTAATTGGCTATATGGGTCCCAGATTGGGATAAGGGATTGGCTCTTTGTCAACCTTGTTATTTTGGGTTTACTTTCTCTAGATCTTAGATATAGTTTGAACTGTATTGCAGGATACTGCATTTGTTGGGATTAATAGCTGTTCCAACATTAAGACTGTTTCCTTGGAGTTTTGTGTCTGCTTGTTGGATGGCCAATGTAATTCTTTGACCCATTCTATAGGAGCATTCTGGATGGTAAAAGAGACACTCTGGGCCTTCTGAAATGTGTACTGTTGGCAATTTGCAGTATTTTTTTTTAATGCATTGCTTGTAAGTTGGATACTTCTTAGCATGCTTTAAAAAAAAAGCATACAGTGGAGAAGGTAAACTGACATTACCCATCTGGTTTGGAGATGTGTGTAGTCTTGACTTCGGGGTGCTTTTACAATTGATCTCATGCCATTCTAGAATGTATTAATTATAGTGATAATTGTTTTACTTCTCTGGTATGCCTTGTGATAGAGAAGACTGAATAGTGTTGGTGAATCTATGAAATAGTAAACATGTGGAAACATGTGGAAACAGCAGTGGAGGTTGGAGGTGGTGGAATCCATGTCACTAGTTTGGTGTTCTTCTCCATCCTTATTGTTTGAATGTGGAGTTTATGTCTGAGTGCCATAAAAATTGAATATAAGCCATTTAAATCTGTTTATTCACTCCCAGCAAACCTTGTGTTTAGAAATGTTAACTAAAAGTGCATAACATTTGCATGATCAAATAAATAGAATATTAAGACTTTCAAATGAAATTTACTGTGTAGAGGTTTTACTATGAAATAGCACTATAGTAGCTGTTTGCTTATTTCATAAACAATATGGAAGGATTGGACTTGACAGAAGCATCAGTAGCAGAGACCTTTTTCTTAGCATTTTTTCTAACCAGGTCCTTATAATAGGGTTGTTTTTAATAGCACTGAATTTGACAGAAAACTTGACAAAATCTGATTCCAAAGAAGTTGATTATTTTAAATATTTTTTCTGAGAATATAAGTGAAGTAAATATAAAGGCTTCATCAAATTGAATTCAACTCCTGATGACCATACAGGAGCATCTATTTAGTTTTCTTGGCAATACCATGAACGTGGTTTACTATTGCCACCTTTTTGTAAGATTTAAGCTTATAAAGATCTTGAATTTCCTAGTGATCTCCTCTCCAAGAACTAAACAGGTTTAAACTGGCTTAGCTTTTTTTAGAGATCACACACGATGATTCTACCTCCTATAGTTGATTTCAGAAAATTATGAAAATATAACGATTTCAAATATTTGAAAAGTATCAAACCTTTTCCACAAAAAACCTATTTGTAGAAAAGCTGTTTATCTAAATAATAATTATTGGAAATATCTAGTTTATGTTGCTATCAGCAAAGAACAGTTTACTTGGAGAAGAGGTATGCTGACACCGTGGACCTCATCTGTGCTATTAAAGTCTTGCCACTTCTGGAACTCTGTTCAGCATGTAATTGTTAATTCAGGTAATTGAACTGTAGTTATTTGCTTTATGCAATTGGAAGCCTTGGAACAAATATTATAGATATAAGTTCAGGATAATTGAATGCAGCTTGAACTGTTTCCAATTATTATTATTATTATTATTATTATTATTATTATTATTATTATTATTATTATTATTATTATTTCCTATGAACTAATTATATGTGCTGTAAGGCTTGTGGACAAAAACTATTGCACTGTGAAATGGCAAATAGCTTTCCCCCACAAAATCTTGTAGGGCTGAATTTATCCTTACTTTTTGTTCTGAATATTTATATCTCTTGCCTCCCCCACCCTGCAATGTCTCTGTGGAAGCACTTGAGATATTTAATGCTAAATGACTACTTTTGCTAGTTATTAAGGGTCATTAGAGAGGCACTTAATATGTATGAGTATTTCAGTTTGAGCAAGAGATATGTTTAATCTTATTCTGTCTGGATTGTAGCATGACACATTTAATAAAGTTAAAATTATATTTAAAGCATGGAACACCAAGAATGAGAATTGAGACTGGAACAAAATCAGCCCACAATAATGCAGAGAAACTAGATTTTATTTGTTGTTTTTACTCTAAACATCTATATCTCTTCTAAGGCACCTTTTCAAGAAGCTTAATCACTCAGTAATTCCGTAAATAGCATAATGCTACTTCTTCCCAAAGCTGGATCATTAGTAGAAAATAATCACAGAACAGCTTGAACATCTGTTCGGCATTTTTTAAAAAAAGGCTAGAATAAGTAATTGTGTCATCATCTGCTATTTGTTGCCTTTGAGAATGAAGAACTTTAGGTAACAAGGTTGTGAATCAGATAATCACATTCATAAATGGCTAGAGATGTTGAATAGCTTATGTGTTAAATATGTGACTATTTTAATTATATTGTGACAATTAAAAACCTATTTATTGGCAGAAAAATGAGGTATTCAATTTCTTCTATGAATTTCTCTTCACTGTCAAAGATTGATTGTGATGAAAATGGTTTAAATATGAAAGAAATAAAACTGGATCAAATAATTATTTCCTAAATCAAAGAAACTTGGACTGTGACAGAAGAAGCACTACCTGCACAACTTGGATGATATTAATTAATTGAATAAAGAAAATCTCCAAGAAAAAGGAAGTGATCATATGCCATGAAACAAAAGAGGGATTTTTTAAGAAAAAAGATGTCATTTCAGATTATGTGATGAAAACCATTTATATTTCCTATTGTAAAACTGACCCTCTTATCTAATGATCTAGTAATACCACAGCAATGGAACTTGAAAAGGCCATAAAGGAGGTGCTGTTGAGTAATACATGATTTGCTAGTTAGGAAGACTTTAAGAAAGTGGTAAAAGGTGTTTAATTTAGGCTGCCAGCTATTACAAATTTGGGGAAGTATGCCAATATCACAGGAAAATATTCATTGATAATGATATTAGAGACAAGAATATTGTATACAGTACTTTGGGATGGGAGAGAATGTGGTAATATCTCATGTTAATCTGATAAATATCAGACATGAGATTTGAATAATTAAGTAATGGATTAAAAAGACTAAAAGAAGCAAATCTGCTGAAGCTATTTGACCTATCCCAAAAATCCTAGATTTGTCTTATTTTACATTTAGAAAGATACACTAACCAGATTCATTTTTCAGCAAGGCTTGTAATATATCAGTAAATTAATGTAACAAATTATTGCACCTTTACAATTTTGTCTGTTTTAACTAGTATTGTTTTTAGTTTTTTTTTAAAATAAACTTTTTTTTTGCTTCAGTTAATGTTTTTTAAAGTCCACAAGAAAATTGTTTCAAAGAAAATATGTTGTAA